GAAAGGGACGAAAAAGCTTCATAGTTTTTGAAAATCTGTAAAGTGGCGTTGGAGAAAATAGCTAATAACAAAAAAAACTGAAATCACTAAAACGTTTTTAATGGAGGATCGCTCGGATGATGCCGATCTTTTTGGGAAACAACTTTTGAGATAAAAAATTGTGCGTGGGGGTTGCAGGGGGCAGGATGGGTTTATTTCATTTCTTTGATGTTAGAATATTTATACACTTCCAACTTTGGTAATCTTAGAGGTGGCGAGTGGGTGAATCACAGTATTTTGATTTTAGTATGTTAACACAGTTCAAACTCTGATAAGTCTACACACTTATTTCACATATGCCACACATCAACGATTTCCTCGTAAATTTGCTCTTAAACCAAAAATACTCACATAGGAAGTGGATGCGACATTATATATATTTATAAATATATATATATATATACGAGGGATGTCTTTTAAGTTTTGCATATGGAAATAAAACAACACGGTAGGTAGTTCTAAATGACTTTATTTTAGTATTCTCCACGAAGATTAATACACATATGCATGCGCTCGAACCAATTTTCGAAGCACTTATTCCACTCGTTTGCTGGCAGATCCAAATCGGTATTTTTGAATGCGTCAACTGCTTCTTCTGGTGTCTGGAATCTTTGACCACGCAGTCTGTATTTAATTTTCGGGAAAGTAAAGATCGTTAGGACTTAGATCGGGACTATATGGAGGAAGGTCCAATAATTCCACGTTTTCTTCCGTTAAATACTACCTTGTTTTTTGGGCTGTTTGGGAGCTTGCATTGTCTTAGTGGAGGATGATTCTTCTTTCGGGGTTGATTTTTCGAAGCTCGGTGATGACTTTTGGCAAACAAATGGTGGTATACCAATCCGCAGTAACAGTTCTTCCCTCATTAAGAGGAATTGTTGCAATATGACCCGCTTTTGACACAAATGTCGCGACCATCTTTTTCGAAACACTTCGAGAACGGTTGACTTTTGTTGGCTTTTCTTCACCTTGGAACACCCACACAGCCGACTGTCGTTTATTTTCTGGTTCATAACAGTAAATCCACGATTCATCACCACTAACAATGCTGTACACATTTTTTGAGTTTCCGGAATCGAAACGGTCAAGCGTTTTATGACATCAATTAACCCTGGCTGCTTTCTGCTCTTCAGTCAACAGGTGGGGTATCCAACGAGAAACTAATTTTCTTACTCCTAATTCTTCATGTAAAATTTTTTGAATTGAGGTCTTTGAGATCTTCAAGGTCGCCTCAATCTCGCGATATGTCAGATGTCTATCTTCAATGATGAGTTCGCGCACAACATCGACGTTTTCCTGGATGACTGCCGTTTTTGGTGCACCCACCCTGGAATCGTCGCTAAGACTCACCCGACCACGTTTGAGTTCTGCATACCAACGGGAAATTGTCGACTGATGTGGCGGTTCTTTGCCGAAAACAAACAGTAACTCAGCAAGGCGATCTTGTTGCGACAATTGTCTCTGAAAGTTGTGATAAATTATGGCGCGAAAATGTTCTCGGTTGAGTTCCATTTTTCTACTGACTTGGTGACACTTAAAAATTCACTGTAGTGAGAACACTGCACGTATTGTTGAGAAACTTTGAATTTAAGTTTACTAAAGAGTGGGGTTAATATTCAGTACTGTCGTTCGATCCGCGCGGCCTACTATGTTTCTATATGCGAAACTTAAACGACATCCCTCGTATATATATATACGACATTATCTATATATACGAGCAGCAAGCTTAAAGTGTAATTCAATGTATAGTATATAAGTACGTATCTAGAGCTATTGCAACCAGCTATCAAAAATTGTTGACGTACAACATAACATCACAGCTCGAAATAAATGAGGACGCGCTGCAATCTGAGGATTTTTGCCTGAAAAACCCCATGTTTTTGATCATTACTTTACATGTACAATTGTAAGTTAAAGTTGTTACGAAAGAGTGGGGAGCTTAGAGTCAGTCCACTTGACGGCATTTCTTTCAATGTTGTGATGAGGGCGGCAAAGTTATGTTTATGCGTGAACATTTTGAAAAATCATGTAGCAATTCATACAGACGGTGGTTTACGAAACTTATGCAGAACATTTGACATTCACCCAGCAAATTTTTAAGACAGTGAACGATTTCCTAGTTGCGTGTTTTGAGTATCTTTTACTATGTCTGGAAGCTGTCAAATTGTAATAGTTATTTACTTAACAAGTGCGGAAAGTTGAATATACGATTTTTTCTAACAGCGTAGCGCGAGATAATAATGAACTCATAATTTTAAATACATACTATGTTCTATTAGAAATTTAATAATTGTGACATCAACATTATTTAATACGAATAATACGTGATCCGCGCGGAAAAGGTATGGGTGTGGAAAAGTGCTGCTTTCTGCACGCAAATGCGCGCTGAAAGTGAGTACTTTCCGCACGCTGGTAGAATAAAACTTACAGCTTGTTATATAATTATTTTCTTGGGGAAAGTGTCCGAAAGGTACTAACTTTGTGGCATTACAATGAAATCCATATATTATACCAGCATATGGGCATTGTCTCGTGAGTGTAAAGCTTAGCCAATAAAATGGAGCTGTTCACTGACTGTTTGAGCAGTTCCTAACCCCCAGCTTAAACTGTCTGAAAAATCAGCTACAACGATCAACATTTCTACAAACTCTCACTTTGGCTTCCTCTTATCTTAAACCCATAATAACTACCTGACACTTCATGCAACCTGAATACGCCTTTACAAAGTATTGTTCCCGTTTCATCAGTGGGATAATATCGCAACTACCTCCTTCGGAGTTTCCGCGGCACTACATTGTTCGCAAACAACTAATCGCTGGCTCCGTAGGAACTTTGTATCATCACGACGAGAATACCTTTTAATATGAAACATGCTTTCAATACTTCAACGCCCGACTCTGCTGGCACTAGAACGAGCCGTAGTGTAGCTGCCAACAACGCTCAACTACTTCCGTGAAATTCCGACGCTGTTGGAAATTCTTTCACTTATAACCCCGATTAGTGATGCACTCAGAGGAAACGGGAGAATTTTGTGCAGCTGTAAGCTTTGCAAAATTGGAGTACGGGTACCAGGTTCAGCTGTCGTCCCATGCAGTGGATCTATCGAGCATAACACCTGCCACCATGGCTACGAGTGTCAGGGATTAACTAGATACGTTATACAATTCCTTGTAAGAATGCACACTGGAAAGAATAAGCCATTTTCAAGACCAAAATATCCCCTCAGCTGGGAAATTCATGGATCTCTTCAGATTACGCATAAAATAATCCAATAAGAACAAATATTCGTAACCTAATGGGTGAGGTGAATAAAAGAGAGCAAATGCTTTTACTAAATAACTTTAAAGTAAATTCTTGGTAGTACGTGATGAATAAAGCTTTTACTTGTACTTGTCAAGTAAACACTTGCTATCTCGAGTTATTAGGTACTCCTAAAGTAACTATTTTGAGTGTTTACTTACAATGGGAGCGTATAACAGCAAAATAAAACTTTACGTATACTAAGTGACATATAAATCCGAACACCCAGTTTAAATGGTCTTATTTTAATAAAATTTTGAATAAGTACTTAATGAAGCATAATAAGTAAATGATAAAAATTTCAAAATGATTGCACTGCTTTGAAGCCCTTTGACCTTTAATAATGTGTGGATGCACCCTGATGTGCTACGCATTCTCCAACGCGCTTAGGCATGCTTCTGATCAGGTGGTCACTGTCCTCCTGTGGTATCTCATACCAGGCAACCACCAACTCCTCTCGAAGTGCTTCTAGAGTCTCAGGAGGACGTTGCAAATTGAGCAATCTCCTACCCATCATATCCCACACGTGCTCAATTGGGGATAAGTCGGGAGATCTTGGTGGCCATGGTAACAATGTGACATCACTATGTTGAAAGAAGTCTATTGTGACTCTTGCAACATGTGGTCGGGCATTATCTTGTTGGAAAGTTGGATCTGCCAGGGTGTCAAGATAGGGTAAAAGATGGGGTTCTAGAACTTCGTGGATATAACGCTGCGCGTTCATGTTACCTCTGATGAAGATTAAAGGTGACCTGGAACCATAAGCTATAGCACCCCAAACCATAACTCGAACAGTGTGATGAACATGTCTTTCAACAAAAAACTGTGGATTCCTCCTTTCACCACGTCGCCTTCTAACCCTGGCACGACCATCGTGCATGCCTAAACAAAATCGAGACTCGTCACTAAAGACAATACTGTTCCATTCCTGATCCCAGAGCGACCGTTGTCTGCACCACTCAAGGCGATTACGTCGGTGTTCTCGAGTTAACGGGAGGACCCAGTGTGGCCGGTATGAAAACAAGCCAAAACTTCTCATTCGTCGGTAAACACTTCGCATGCCAATAGGTTTTCCGTGTTCTGCAAACCATTCATTTGCAATGGACCTGGTAGTGGAGAAACGGTCCCTTAAGGCCAATAATCTTAGGCGGCGATCTTCACGGTCTGTTGTTCTACGGCGGCGTCCAGTGCCCCTTGCTCTTTGCGTACGGCCTTCTCGAAGCCATGCCTGACAACACCTAACCACAGTGTCTACACTTCTTTGCACTCTAACTGCAATTGCCCGAAAAGAAAGTCCAGCTTCCCGAAGTCCCACTATACGGCCCCTATCAAACTCACTAAGTTGACGAAATCGTACAGGTCTCCGTACTCTAGGCATCGTAACCGATCGTAAAGGATGTCAAGAACCAAAATCCACCAACCTTGATTCTTTACTGCGGCTGAAATATTCATTTTTAGAGCGATAGTGAATTAAAAAAAAGCAGTATAAAAACCGGAATGACCAACTGATAAGGCTGAAAATTTTTTCACTTGTTATTTACAGTAAGATAAATACATTCACCAACTTTTATTAAAATAAAACCATTTAAACTGGGTGTTCGGATTTATATGTCACTTAGTATATTTTAAGTAAATACTGTTATTTTCGCAAGGCTGGTTTGATGTTACCTTACCGCAAGGTCCATAATCTGAAGTGTCTAAATTATTTCATTACATACTATTTCTTACCAGAAACCAACGAAACTCGAGGTGGTGCTCTGTCAAGAAAATATATTGAAATATTTCTCCGATATATTAGTGACCCTGGTTTTCAAAGTGGTGTTGCAAACGATTTTGGTATTGAAAGAACAACAGTTTGTAAGACTGTAGATTATGTTGTGCAAAAAATTATGGAGAAGGCAGGTCAATGGATACTGTTTCCAACAACCGAACGAGATTTAAACGAAGCAAAGACAAGTTGGATGGCAAAATACAGGATTCCCACCGTAATTGGCCCACTTGATTGTACCCATATACAAGTTAAAAAATCTGATGAGCAGTTTGGCGGTGAGTACATAAATGGGAAAAATGTTGCTTCATTAAATGTGCAGATGACATGTTATGCAATGGAAATGATCACAAGTATAGACAAGCAATGGCCTGGAAGTGTGCACGATGGTAGGATTTGGAGACAAAGTGCTGTTCAACAAAAACTTGCAAGATTCCAAGAGAATGCTTGCTTGCTAGGAGACAGCGGATATGGTATATCTCCATGGCTTTTAACAACTTAACAACCACAGACTGAATTAGAACGGCGGTACAACAGATTACATTCAAAAGAAAGAGTTGTAATAGATCGTGTATTTGGCCAACTAACACAGCGCTCTCCAATACTAGCAAATAGGATTAGACTCGCAGTAAGGAACGTACCGAAAATAATCATATGTTGTGCCGTACTTCATAATATTGCTAAGTATTTGCAGGATGCGTGGGACTATGGAATAGAAAATAACGACGATCATGATGCTGTTCCAGACATTGTTGAGCAAGAGCAAGGAGACATTAGACGTCTTGGTTAGAAATAGTCCAAATAATAAATCAGTTTAATTCAATTTAAATAACAAAATATATTTCCAACATATTTATCATAGGTAATAGGTATCACATAAAAATTATGTAGCCCTTAAATACAGTTATTCTAATTAACACGATACTATATCTACTCGTACCAAAACTTCTGATACATATTATACATGAGAAATTATAGATAAATTCTAATTATTCATAAATGTGTTAGAAAACTTTAACAAAAGAAAATCTTGCAACCTAAATTCCGAATTAACTAAAGGATCGTCATTTTTTTGGGTATTAATAGCTTGGTTTTCTTGCTGACGTAGATTTTCAGTTGGAGTTCCTCTTTTTCAAGTTGTAGTCTAGTCAGTTTCAGCTGCTCTAGTAGTACTAAGCGTTGAAGTTCAGGAGTTGATAAACCTGCAGTTTTTTCTGTTTCTGCTGCTAACAACCTTTGTTTTTTAGAATTTTGGCCACTGGACACGGCAGAAATATCTGCACCATGTTCTTTGCGTAAAATATGTCTCTGCTGATTACCCTTTCATGTTTCTGTTGTTGCTTCGCTTACATCTAAATGTGTGGAAAGTAAAACACATTTATTACTGGAATCTAGCCCGACTGTTATTGCTCCTGGTATTTTACTGTATACAGCATTTTCTTCAGCATTTCAAGTTTCTCGTAAAATCTTTTTCCCATTGAAGTAGCTTGATTGGTTTATTTTCTGTTGACGACAAGTCAGTTTTTTTCTTAAGTGCTTTTCATATTGTTAAGAAGTTTTTTCAACTGATCTATAGTTACGTTTTTCCCTGTATATTTCATGAATTCCTCTCTAATTATCATCCAGGAGGTTTCTTTTGCTGAAACCATTTTTGGTACCATTGACTTATTTAAAACTAGCTGTGCTCGATTATCAGAAACAAGCTTCGGTTGTTTACTTTCTTCGTCACTAGAAGACATCCTAATTGCTAGTAATCTTGAGCTTTCTTGTGTCCGAATTAAAAATAACTAAGTTAAACAAAAATATACAGAAACCTAAAGAGATTTATACGACGCGTAAGTTTACAAAGCAAATACTCGTAAGTAAGACGATTTAAATATGTGAATAAGGATAAACAAGCTAAGCCTTGCACGCGCCGCAAGTATTACCTCAATATTAACAAGTAGACCTTTCTGAGTCATGCCTTACAATTATTTTTTCATTGCCAAGCATTTGCTTCAACTCTCAAGGCAACACTTTTCTCGTAAGTAAATGCTTATGAAGTTCTTACTTGGTTTTATCCACCTCACCCATTAGGTACTCCTAAAGTAACTATTTTGAGTGTTTACTTACAATGGGTGCGTATAACAGCAAAAGAAAACTTTGCGTATTTTAAGTAGCTATTTTTCTAAGGTTGGTTTGATGTTACCTTACCGCAATGTCGATAATCTGAAGTGTCTAAATTTTGGTCCATATAGTGAAAAGCGTAGGACTGTAGATTATGTTACACAGAAAATTATGGAGAATGCAGGTCAATGGATAGCGCTTCTAGAAACCGAACGTGATTTAAACGAAGCCAAGACAAGTTGGTTGGCAAAATACAGGATTTCACTGTAATTGGCGTACTTGATTATACCCATAAACAAGTTATAAAGCTTGAAGGACAGTTTGGAGATGATTACATAATAGGAAAAATGTTGTTTCATTCAATGTTCAGATGACATGTTGTGATGCAATGGAAAGGATTGCAAGTATAGACGTGTAATCACCTGGAAGTGTGAACGATAGTGAGATTTTTCTTTATTTATACCGAAGCAGCCGCGCAGGCAGGAGCCTAAATGCCGAGACATCGCGGCTGCCATGCTGATCCAAATGAAATTCTGTTAATTTTTGAAATGCCTAAGATCAGTAGAACTGGGAAAAGCTTCCTCTTGTAGATTGTTCCACAATCTCGACACCCTCCGGACAAAGGCACGGTTGTATCGGCCAGTTCTGGATGTACCCAGTTCAACAACATTAGGATGGGAGGCCAATGTCGGACAGGTCTGTCTGGCAAGCACATAGCGCGGTGGCATCATGGAAGAGAGCTCTGAGGAGCAAAGCCCGTTGTTGTAGCGGTAGTAGAGAGCTAGATCGCTGACGGCCGCCGCCGGTACAAAAGGGTCCCGAGACTGTCTGTTAGAGAAGAGTCCTCGATCAGTCGGACAGCCCTCCTCTGGACAGCATCGAGCATAAATGATGTAGTCGGGGCGATGAGCAATAGTCGAGGCTAGGCCTTATCTGGGCCTTGTATAGAGTGAAAAGGCGATGCGGAGAGTACTTCTTAGCCCTAAATAAATAGCTTAGCTTTTTCCCAGCAGCTGTCGCTATTGACGAGACGTGTTTGTGCCAGATCAGGTGCTCGGTGATCTGGACTCCGACTAGCCGAAATGAATGGCTCTTTGGCAGGACTCTGCCATACATCGGAATCGGATGAGTACCAGGATGCTTTTTGTTTGTCAAGGTACAGTACTACTTTTTGGAAGCATTAAACTGTACAAGATTGTTGCATCCCCAAGCAGTGATAACCTCGTCAGAGATGAAGTCGTCACTAATCTCCTTTTTTCCAGCGGCAGAGATCGGCTTGTCGCTCTGAATTCCTGCATGAAGAGTGGTGTCATCACCGAAGGAGACAAAGCCCTGTTTAACAAAAACTTTCAAGATTTCCAGGTAATGCTTGCTTGCTGGGGAACAGTGGATATGGTATATCCCCATGACTTTTAACATCATTCAGAAAACCAAAAGCTGAATTAGAACGGCGGCACAACAGATTGTATTAAAAAGAAACAGTTGTAATAGAACGTGTATCTGGCTAACTGAAACAATGGCTTTCAATACTAGCAAATAGGGTTAGACTCGCAATAAGGAACGTATCGAAAATAATCATATGTTGTGCTGAACTTCATAATATTGCTCAGTATTTGCAGGATGAGTGGCACTATGGAATAGAAAATAGTAACGACAATCATGATGCTGCCCCAGGAATTGTTGAGCAAGAGTGAGGAGACATATTACGTCTTGCTGAAGAAAAACGCTTAGAAATAATCCAAATAATCAATCAGCTTAATTTAATTTAAATAAAATTTTTTTTTCCAACATATTTATAGGTGTATATAATAGGTAATAGGTATCAAATAAAAACTATGTAGCACTTAAATACAACTAATCAACACGACAGTATAGCTACTCGTAATAAATGTTTTGATACATAAATGAGAAATTATAGATCAATTCAAATTATTATTCATAAATGTGTCAAAAAACTTACTTTAACAAGATAATTTTGCAATCTACTAGTATATACCGGATTATTAAGAGGATCGTCATTCTTTTGGGTATTAATAGCTTCGTTTTCTTGCTGACGTAGGTTTTTCAGTTGAAGTTCCTCTTTTTCAATTTGTAGTCTAGTTAGCTGCTCTGTAGTACTAAGCGTTATGGTTGATAAACCTACAGTTTCTTCTGTTTCGGATGCTAACAAACTTTATTTTTCCGAATATCTGAAGCATGTTGTTTGCGTAATATATGTATGTCTCTGCTGATTACCCTTTCTTGTTTCTGTTGTTGCTTCGCTTAAATTTAGCTGTGTGGGAGGTAAAACACTTTTATTACCGGAGTCTAGCACAACTGTTATTGTTTCTTGTATTTTACTGTAGCCAGGATTTTCTTCGGCATTTAAAATTTCTCGAAAATCCTTTTCCCATTGAAGTAGCTTGATTGGTTTATTTTCTGTTCATGACAAGTCAGTTTTTCTTATCAGTGCTATTCATATTACTAAGAAGTTTTTTCAACTGATCCAAAGTTACGTTTTTCCCTGTATCTTTCATGTATTCCTCTCTAATTATCATACCGGCGTTTCCTTTTGCTGAAACATTTTTGGTACCATTGACTTATTCAGTACTATTTTATTGTTTTCCGGCTGCAGGATTCTGACTAACTGTGCTCGGTCATCGGAAACAAGTTTCGGTTGCTTACTTTCTTCATCACTAGAAAACATTCCAATTGTTAGCAGGCTTGTGCTTTTTTGTGTCCGAATTAATTGAGCTGAAATATACAGGAACCTAAAGACGATTCAAATATGTGAATAAGGATAAGCCAGCTAAGACTTGCAGACATCGCGATTATTTTAACAAGTAACCTCAATTTTAACAAGTAAAACCTTTCTGAGTAATGCCTTTACTGTTTTTCACTCATTGCCAGGTACTTGCTTCAACTTCCAAGGCAGCACTTTTCTCGTAAGTAATTGCTTATAAGTGCTTACTTGGTTTTGTTCACCTCAACCATTGTACAGAGAGGTACCGCTACCCCCAAGTAGACTAGGGCCCACTAGACTGGACTTTATTGCCTCAGCATGATTCTTAAAAATATACCAGTAATTGACATGAACACTAAAAGCCTACAAAACTAGCTTTTGAACAACTGTTGAACGATGAACATATCTCTCAATAAATATTTTAAGACATATATCAATTCATGCCATAATATGTGCAGTAACACGTCATTTAACTCGTTTGCTGCCGATGACTCCAGTCGGAGCCAATCGGTGGCCTTGGCCATGTGCTGACGGCTCCGATCGGAGTCATCGGCAGTGATACGAATAATCCTAGTTTCAATGCCGCTGGCTCCGATCGGGGCCAATTTTTTTTCTCTCCCAATATACACCTTTTTAAATTCGATACCAATATAAATAACTAAAAATGATTACATATACCAATATTAGTCTGATTGGCGAAAAAAATTATTTGGCTTGGAAACAGTTAATCCAGTGTGAGTAGGCAGCGAACGTGTCAAGTCGAAAGTTGGGAATACTTACCTATGGATAGTTCATAAACTAAGGGAGTGATTGGCAGATGATATTATGATAATTACGATAATTTCAACGCCTACTGAGGATTTTTTTTTAAATAACTAAGGTTTGCCAATATCATCGGACGACATATTATACATTTTCTTAAGAAGAATTAAAAACCCCATTTACCTGTGCAAAAACCCAATATATCGCCTACAAGAAAACATAATGTTGGTAACTGAGAGTAAGAAGCGAAACGTCACATTCAAATTCTAATTATGCCAACTTGTAAACGAGAACAACAAACAGTGCTAGTGTACCTTTTATTTTAAAATCGCATCTTAACTAATGTCAGGAGAAAATAAGAAGGATTTTGTGAAAATTCGGCTTTTTTCGTACTTTGAAAATACTCTGAAAGCATTTAGATGTAACTTTTTAGTAACCTAAATGCGCAGGTTTGCACCCATTTAACTGATATCGTATTTCTTACCGTTTCCGAGACCCCAATTGTGAGAATCTACTTTGAAGCATCCTGTATATCTGGCGTATACTTTATGACTTAGAAAAAAATTACAATCTAAATAAGAAAAACTGTCTTTTACTTTCAATTCAGCTCTTGCGTGAATTTTTTTACCGCCCTCAATTACTTATGCTTATGACGTTCACTAGGCCTACAGTTGTAAAATCATCGTTTATGCGTGTTTATTATAATAATTTTTTTCCAATCAAGCCTGATTGACTGCAGTTATCATGCCCTGGATGTTCTACAGTATTGAGTAGTGAAAAAACATTGAGTTTTTATGATTCTGTCAACGATAATCAAATAACAGTCAAAACGGGTTCTTTAATACTAGTTCTTACCGGTGAGATCTCTAATCTTAAAATTGGGTGCCCAAACCAAGTTGTGCGAGTATTACACGTCTTCCTACAAGGGTATTCTTGGTGAATGCGTATCAACGTGCATGCGATTACACATTGCGGGCGACTGCTGCAGACGAGAGGATGGACGGAAAGAGAAAGGAAGAGGGATAGGCTAATTATCACGCGCGCTAAAAGATGCGGGCAGATTAGCTGTGAGAATTAATGATGTAATGATAGTGTCGCCGCCAGAGTTGCAGGTCACAGTTGCCTGTCTAGGCTTCAGGATACGACACGCAGTATGCGGCGCGGCGCCAACTTTGTTACGTTTGAATAACTATGGCGACTGTAGTCTAAATATGGTAACTATGCCTAAATCGTACCCCCTAAGACATTTTTATTTTATAGGGATTGTTATTACCTTAACAACAACAACCATATAAACGTAAACTTCATTTAATTCTTAAGCTTATTGTTACAACTTAATACACATAGGAACTTAAAAAAACTGAAAATTTTCGGTTTGAAAATATCGTGTAGAAAGTACGAAATAGGAGCATTAATCTTAATTCGTACCTTGGTGTGCTTAAATCGTACTTATATTATTCATGTACTACAATTGTCGCATTGATATGTAATAGTCTCCTTATCAACTCCAGCACATAGTTCATGTACCCAGAACTGTGCACTGAATCATACCTTCTTTTCTACTTTCGTTACAAATTATGCAGTGCCATTCTTCATTTCCACAGCTTTCTGATGTCACCTTTTTTTTCGTGTCGATTGTTTTTGATTCCTTTAATTTATTCTTGTGGCGTATCCTACTTTTCCTTTGGCTCCTTTATTTAGGTTTAATTTTACTTTCTTCTTCTCATTATCATCACTTTTCTTTTCTAAGTCATTTTTGTATGGTCTTTCGGTTAAAACCTGAGCTGCTGTAGTACCCTTTGACAGCCTATTTTGTACGATTTTAGTTCTTGGAATTGGAGAAAGGTGCCTTATAAGTTGGGCTGAATCTTTTGGCTCATCTATTTTATGAGCAGAGCTAACGATCTCTTTGAAGGGCATTTTTTCATCTACGAAAACGCTCACTGATGAATCTTCAATGTTTTTAAGCTTTAAACATTTGGATTCTATTATTCCACCACTGCTTGTAGGTGGATGTGGATCATTAAGCGGGCATATTTGTCCTATGGTAGCTTCCATTATCCTATTTTCTAAGGACCTTTCATGTTTGTTGATGGTTTTATGTGTTAAAGTGTCAGTTTCATCATTACTTCCATCCAAAGTGCTTCTATCGTCCTCTTCGAAACTTATATCCATTGGAACATAATCTTCTTGTTGTTGTGCCTAATGCTAGCTGGCCCCCATTTCTATAAAGCCCCAAAAAGAACCACAAAAACAAGTGCCTTTAGCATTCTGTGTACGTTGGACGGTTGAGAATAGACTTCTTGGGGTATTGTCTGATCAAAGTAATTACTTCAGATCGTTCGAAAAACGGGAATTACATAATTTCCTGTGTGTCTTATGTTAGTTGCAAAGTTGTATGAAAAACGATTATTACATTATAATTTTCAAGAAGATTGAAGAAATCTAGTCCGTATGACAAATGCATCTGAATAGTTCAAAGACGATTTGAGTGCCGCCAAAGGAGGCTACCTTCCTACGCCATTACTTATTCATCGGAGTTTTCTGCACCAGCAACGGCGACATATGCATTCGCCTCAGCCATTTCTCAGGAGCAGCGACAACTCTTGCAAGACATCGAAGAAACATTAGATTTCCCCGGTCACCTGCGGGACGGGTCGACTCCTTCCCACTGCCCTGTAATAACAATCAGTTTCACTAGAACTATCCGACGTTTTAGCTTCGGAAGTATCATGTACGAAGCCGTAAGACGATGCTAATGAGGAAATAATAATAACAATAATAATAATATGTCTTTATTTTTTAGTTAAAAGAATAACAAGGAAAAAACTCATTTGATGAGGGAGGCGGCATTCAACATAGTTGCCCTTCCATGCAACCCCCGCAAATAATACTAAACTAAAAATTAGAGAAAAATGATGGGTGTAATTAATACAACAAAAATGAAACTATTGTGCACTTTCCACATGGGATTTGAATCTATTTCGGAAGCTGCTAAGTGAGATCGAATTTTTTACTGTATCTGGCAATGAATTGTATATTGTAGATGCAACATAAGTAAATGACTTTTTAAACTGTTCAGTACTATGTAACGGAACATCATAGAGATTACAAGAACGAGTTTCCCTATCATGAAAATCCGATCTCTTAACAAGTTTGGTATAGAGGTAAGGTGGAGTCTGGGTTTTGTTAATATTGTGAGTTAAGCAAGCAAGATGTATCAAAAAGCGCTCATCCATGTTGAACCAGCCAGAGGCTCGAAATTCGTTACTGAAGTCGTCATATTTTTTCAAACTGTACGAAAATTTAATGCGTGAGTTCTGAATTTTTGAATAGAACGTTTGTCTCTAGTAGTAAGAGCAGGCCAGTGTACAATATCCGCATACGACAAGGAAGACAATATCAACGAATCGCATAGATTCAGCCTGATTTCAGTAGAGAGAGCATTCTTGTGAAGATAAAAAGTCCTTAATTTAGCATAAGCTTTTGTAAGAGATGCTTAACGTGGGGAACAAATTTAAGAGTATTATCGATATATAGTCCCAGATTTTTACATTGGTTGCTTGCTTGTAATATAGTGTGTTATTAATACAGATTCTAAAATTTTGGTTGTCAGTAACCTCACACGGTCTTGATCCAAAAATAAGCAATTCAGTTTTATTTTCATTTAATACGAACCTGTGGGCTCTTACATATCTAGATAAATACTCAAGATCAGAATTGATATGCATGCTGGCAACATAAGCATCATCAAGTTTAAATGATTAATACAATTGTGTATGGTTTGCATATTGGTGTGTACTGCAAAATTCCAACTGACTTTTCAAATCTGACGTATACAGTGAAAACAACAAAGGTCCTAAAATACTACCCTGTGGCACACCTCTGGTAATACTACGAAACTGAGATATGTGCCCACTAAATTCTGTGCACTGGGATCTGCCTGACAGGTAGCTATTGAAGAAATCTACAGCCATATTGCTTAGTCCCAGAGATTCAAGTTTCGAACATAAGATTGAATGATCCATTGTATCAAAAGCTTTACTCGAATCGAGGAACTGTGATTGAAGTATGCCTTTTTGTGTAAACTACCTTAAAAGATAACTTACTTTAAATTAGAAATACATTTTATTATGCGTCAGATAATTACTGGAAGTTTTATTGGGAGTATTGTATAGCACTGCACTGGTGAACCATTAATAATAATAAAATGTTTATAGCATACATTTTCCTAGCATACATAATACAGTTATTTTTATTTCCTTTCTCGCTCCTACTTTCTTTCTTTCTCCATTTCCCCTTTCCCCTACAAACTTGTGTGGTTTCTGGGCCACCAGACCTGACAGAATAACCACGACACTGGCATTACAGTGAGTATGACCTAAAAGGCTAACGACCTCTTTGAGGAGTAATGACGAGCTGTATCAGCAATAACTCTATTCAAAGCAAGCAATGAGCCCGTCTAGATTTGCAGGGATTAACAGCAGCTCTATGTATGGAGATGCCTCGAAATCAGATCTTTTGAGTGCTTGATCCTCTATCTAAAAAAATGTACGTTATAAAATATAACATAAATAATTGTAAAGTCTGGTTTCATTGGTGCAAGTTGTTCAAAACATGGACGCATCAAATGGGTACAACTATTTTTGTGGGAAAACAGCAAAGAATGAGAAAACGTGTTTTTTGGGATTCATTTGAGTGTTGACAGGAACGGAAAAACTTTTCATATAAGATTTTTAGGTATCTAGTAGACCTACAAAATGACACCACACATGAAAAGGTCCGACTAAAGGTTAGCAGAAAGAACAAGGTTTTGGAAGTTTTTGCTAATACGACGATCATTTGACGCCACTACTTGAAAGTTTTCAAATTCATAGGACTCATACTTCTAAATAACAACAACAAAATTGAAGTATATTGTTCAAGTAGGTTTTTGATCATCTCTAATTACTTATCCCAAAACATCTGTCTTCCGGCCATCACTATTAGTTTATTGAGCAATATAGGTATAGGGTTCACTCAAAGAGCATTTAATAGTAAAATACACGTGTTTAGATTGCCGATATGAATCACAAACCATTCCGAAAGATAAATGCGAAAAACAAAGGTTACGTTTTTTCTTCTAAACAAATTCAAACATTTATTATTTGTGAATAATTGAACAAATGCACGATTTTCGAAAAACATTCATTACTATACACATTTTAAAACAAAGCGAATGTGTCTATCATCTTTTGTTGCGAATTACTCACAAATACGAAATGTTTGAATTTGTTTAGAAGAAAAAACGTAACCCATCCTTTTTGCATAAAAATAACATTTATCTTCCGGAATGGTTTGCGATTGATATCAGCAAGGTAAACTAGTGTATTTGCTATTAAATGCCCTTTGAACTAACCCTGTATATTGCTCAATAAACTAGTAGTGATGGCCGGAAAACAGGCGTTTTGGGATAAACAATTAGAAATTCTCAAAAACTACTTAACCAATCTACTCCAATTCTATAGTGGTTATTAAGAACTACGAATCCTACGAATTTGCAGAATTCCAAATATCTGCGAGAAACCATCTTCGCATTACCAACAGATGCCAAAACCTGCAGTTTGCCTCGGTTTGTGGCCATAACTTTTTTGCTGTTAGTAGGATCTTTTCACGTGTGGTCTCATCTTGTAGCTCTTATAAATACCTAAAAATCTTAGATGGCGCACGTGTCGTGGAAGCACGTGGTAGACGTTTCATCCAACTGTCGGTTCTCGACTTTTATAGACGGCCTCTTTTTTGGGGGTCCTGCGCTGGGGGCTTTGACCTAAGCCCCGCATTAAGGTTGGTGAGCCTTCGCTCTTTCCTTGTCCACTGGAGTCAGCCAATCAGTCGTCACTCAGTCATTTGCTGTTTGTCTTCGTCTTCTCAGGTTAGCCCCGAGTCCGTGCTTGACTCTGGCCACATCAACCGACAGGCTTCTTTTTGTCCACCCGTTGGACACGGGCTGTTCTTTCCCCTCTTGGGTGTACAACTATTGTCGGTCTTCTCCCCTTTTCTTTGGCCTCATCTGCTGCTATGGCCAAACTTCTTCTTGTTGCAGCTGGCTTTTCGGTCTTTTATGACGCCTTATTGTTCTTGGGTCGTAATCAGCGCATTTCGGTGTCTTTCGTTCTTTTCAAAGAACTTTCGGGCCCTCTCTCTCATCTGGATTACGACCGGTACGTGTCGTAGTTCGTCATATAGCACTCTGTTAGGTACATACCACGGTGCGTCCACCGCCTCACGGAGTGCTATGTTTTTTTTGAGCTTGGTGCCTCCTCTTCAATGTTTTGGAAACGTAGCCCCAAGCTACTGCTGCATAAGTCATGATTTGGAGCAGCACCATTTATCGAAAACCACTGATCGAAAGAAAAAATGCCGAGATACGTCAAAAGATTTGTCAAGGGGGCCAACTTTTTAACCAAACAGTACTCCACCCCTTTCACCCTCTGCCCCCCAGGGTCATCCCCTTAAAAATTTTAAAAGGCAAGGGGTGTCGAGTAACAGCTTGTTTGAAATTCCTTTTGCAGTCCTTTATTTTAACGTTTGATATTTTAAATCGGTCAATTCGTTTTAAAAAATTTGAGAAATCTGTATTTATCTAAATTTTTTCCGACAGAAAACAAAAACACATGAAAATATAACTTTTTATTTCAATAAGTGTTCAACATATTGCTCATTATTGACCAAACAAATTCCTGACGGACATTTTCAAAAACATGTTGTGGAATATCATGGCAGCTTGCGATGATGCATTGACGAAGTTGGCGAAAAATGGCGCTATAGAAAAAAGTCTAGTGGCGTAAAATCAGCAGATATAGGCGCCCTATCCGTTTATCTGGAAATTCGTCGTCTAGTCATTGCTATACCGGAAGAACATAGTGAGGAGGAGCGCGGTCTTGCTGGAAATATATTTCAGCCACTTCAAGTATAGGGTTCCCATCCTCGTAGATTTGGTTTTCAGTGGTAAGCGGCTTAATGGTATTTTCCGACATATCCAAATACATGTCTCCAATTTCCATTAATAAACAATGGTCCAATCACTTTGTTTCCTAAAAATAATACCTGCCAATACATTAATCTTTTGGGGGTACTTCTGCAAAATCATGAGGATTTTCATTGCTCCAACACCTGCAGTTATGTTTATTAACAAGTCCATTTAGACTAAATGTGCATTCATCGCTCAAGCAGATATTCTTTACATGAATGGTATTATCATTAATCGCTGCAGTTATTTGTTCACAAAGCTCAACTCGCCTATCGAAATCATCATCGGTTAACTCTTGCAATATTTTCGTTTTGAATGGATGAAATTTATGGAGTTTAGTAACTGTGTGTACAGAACCTAATGAAATACCAGTTGCAGTAACAACTTTGCTCAATGAAGCATTAGGATTTATTCCAAAGTGACACATAACTTCAAAGTGAGCGGCTTCATCCAAAACTCTCCGATGATTACGTTTTTTATTTGCAACAGATCCAGTTGAGTAAAGTTATCTTCCCCCGATGTCTGGCATTAAACGTGGTGGGTAGTTTTCAAGTGAAACCCATATATATGAAATACGGCGTTGAAATCCTCTACAATTTTTAAGATAGATGAAGTAGTTAGAGGAGAACCATCCTGGCTTGTTTACGTCGCAGAGCAACTGCCTGGTGCTACACCCTATCGAGTCTCTACCACACAGGAATTCTCTCGCTATCGGCGTCGAGCGACCTCTGAAGTTCTCTACTGGAGAGGCCGCAGCTGTCGAAATGTCACCAGCACCGGAAGACAAGGTCATCTCTTTGACCCGATTCAAAATGTTAGGAGTTGCGAGAAGCGTCAATCCTCTGCTGATAAAGCGTAACCTCTTGGGATTTTTGGCTTAGCATGTTCTCCGGTAAAAAGAGAAATTCGATTCTTCGGTATTTTATAATACGATCGAAGTGGAAGAAACCTGCCAGGTAACTTTGCTACGATAGGGACCGTCGTGCAACTCTGGTGGCAGTTCGTAAACGTAGCGTAGGCCCGTCATTCCATTGAGAAACACCACCAGCGCCCGTTGGAAGTTTTCCTAGGGGGAGTTAATTATCAAGAGATGACTTTTGTGAAAGTTTACCTGTTCCGAAAACCCTTTTGAAGAGCGGGGAGTAGCAATTTTACCAGGAAGGATCCTAAATATCCTCATAATTATACACAGATATAAATTCAAAGATCCAACCGGCACCCATAGACACGGCCTCTACAGCCCTACGCCATTCTCGGCCAGCTTTCCGTCCCTAGGACTTTATTATTTGCACCTCATCTATCGTCGTTCTTCTCCGTATTAGGCTGACTCTTCCTATACACATTTATGTCCGTGGACATTCCAACATAGGACCATTCTAGCTACTACTTCGTCAACCCCCCGTAAGTGACCTATTCAGTTTCACTTTCGTTTTCTAATCTCAGTTCCTATTTATTTTTTCAGCCCTAACATTCTCTGCAGTTTTTCGCTTGTTAACGTTCTGTATCACAATATTTCGTAAATCCTTCGTAATGATCAATATATGAAAACTTGGAGTTTGTGTTAATTTGCATTCTAGCTTGGCCATGTTTCACTCACATGCAGTTTGAACCTTCTCCAGGACCAGCATCCAAGAGAATCCGAAATACTACCATGGTTGTTATGTTACAGATACAACAAACGTTTTACTTTGGCAAATGCCAGTTAGAACTCGTGGTTATCTGTGCCGTAGGGCATAGGGTCATATCAGGGTCTTATCTAGCACTACATGTAGCAGCGGATCAATCTCAGTCTGTAGCGAGCCGCATACACTAGCTCTGAGGCTAAAGTTCTCTCCCAGTCCCCCTTCCCAGAACCCCTCGGTCAAATACGTCGGTTCTTCTATATTTTAGAATTTTGTGAAAGATAAGGTTTTCTAAGAGTGGATCCTGCACTTAAATTACGGAATTTTGGTTGTTTTTTAAATAATAATATGCTGTGAACACTAAGGAATAAATCAGTTTTCATTCGTATTAGCTCATTTAGTAGTATATGTTACATGGATGACAATTGTCATAAGAAAAAACATGAATTCAACTGGAATCGACCACAACAAACAGGTGTAACGTTTTAGCAAGCGCAAGGTTTTTCCAAGTTATCAAAAACATACTTCATTGACGTTTTGGAAAAAATCTTTGTGCCAAACCATATTTAACTATTTTCTTGAATAATTGGTACTAATAACTATTGATGGATCGATGAATGAAGTCGTATGGAATCTTCAAGAGATGAGATTTTGCGTTTTTCTGCAACTAAATATAAATAGTTCTTTTTTTTGATAAAATTTTTGATCTGACGATGGAAGTTAACATCGCACGGTTGACAAGTTGCAAAGCATTATGGAGGAATAATTTTTACAGTACACGTTGTCAATTCTTGTATTCAAGCATTTTTGAAACTTGGACAAACAGTGAGACTGACTCTTTCAAGATAAATACCTTCCTTACTTTTAAGTTCTGTACCCTTGGACCTTAGGCATATCTACCAAGTTTCTATCGACACATAGAGCTGCGGCAAAATTGGTGACCCGAAGGTCCCCTTATTAGCTTAAATATCTTTACCATAATGGGTCTGTCAAAATTATCTGTTTGATAGAGCTTGTCATAACCGTTCAAATGTTTTTTCCAACTACGTTGTGACTCTTACGTTTCACGTATGTACCAGACTTGGCCATCTATGAGGAGCAGTTAATTAAGGTGAACAGCTACTAACATTACCAAGTGATACACTTGACATTTGTAGAGGAGATGTAATCAGCGCCAAGTAGTACTTGTCATTAATTCATCCTCAAACATAACTACGGATATTTGTCAAAGGCCGAATCAGTGAGATATCAAATAATGAATGGTCACACCAGATCGATATGCGGCCTAACGCACAGATATATTTATTAAGTCCTGATAGAGATGTATCTTAAGCTGGCGGATAAACAAGGAGATAGTAACACATAATAAAAAGTGAAATTGGTTGGCAAATGGTTATCTAAATTAATAGTGATAGCCCTAATTGAGCCTCAGTCAGGAAAGTCGATAGAATAGCTATCACCTTCAAATATACTCTGCTACATTAAAAGCGCTATACCCAGAAAATACAATTTCTTCAACTTATTTTTTGGCAACATAATGGCAATACTTAAAGCATGCTGTGGCGACAATGCCAACGTTTTATATTTGTTTTTGTTTACCTTTGTTAAAATGCTATCTCTTGGTTTTTGTGAACAAAGCAGTTTCTGAGAGCTGAGTGGTACAGATATTTTTAGTTATTACCCTTTCGTTTACTAGTGCTGGGCATAATAAAATGCCCCGAGTTCGAAGACGTCAAAATGATCAACATGTTAACGACTTTGACAGGGGTAGAATCATTGCGTATCGAGTTATTGGTTTTTCCTATCGCGAAATTGGCCTCCGTGTTAATTGTACTGCAATGGCGGTAATGCGTGTATATCGTGGGTGGATGGATTAAGGTAGAGGAAACACGAAAAAGGCCAATTGGTCCACCAAGGCGTACTACAGAGCGTCAATATAGGCGCTTTAGACAGCTAGTCCTACGAGGCCGTTTTGGTACTACGCGTCATATCGCTGACCAATGGTTTGGAGAAGAAGGCAGAGCTGTTGCCAAGCGTGTGTATACTCTATCGCCGCATTCGAGCTTTTTACCTTTTTTCATACTGTCCACGGTTAGTGATTGCTCTGACTGCGGACCACTGTCGTCAACGTTTGAACTGGAGCAGAGAACGGCAGCATTGGGAGGCAGAATGGCATGATGTCATCTTCAGCGATTCTGTCTAGGTACACACGATGGTGGTAGAAGGATAAAATACCTCCGTGTAGAGCAGCGTGATATTGAATTTGCTGTTGAGGGGCAGGTACACAGGACTGTTGGAGTATTCGTTTGGGGGGCTATTGCCTATGGAAGCCGATCACCCCTTCTCTCTATTCAAAGCAATATGACTGCTGCACGTTGTGTTGCTGGTGTCCTACAAACCACTTTACTGCCGTCAACACGTCCTTTTTCAGCAAGACAACGCACGTTCCCATATTGCTTGTGGTACTACGGACTTCTTCAAGAAGCAGGCGCTAATGTTTGACCGGGGCCGTGACCGTCACCGGACTTGAATCCCATCAAACGTATGTGGGATGTGATATTGCACCTGCCGCCACAGACTCTGCCACAGCTAATCCACGGAGTTCGAGTTGCTTGGAATGAGGTGCCACGACCAGAAGTCGATCATCTCATTTTGTCGATGCCTAGAGTGTATTTAGCTGCGGGGTCGCCTAACACATTATTAATTTCTTATTACTTGTCAATCAAATTTCGTTAGAATATTATCGTTTCATTCTTGATGTAGGACTACCTTATTGCCAAAAAATCATGTTGATGAAATTATTTTTTCTGGGTGTAGCACTTCTAATGTCACTGAGTATACTATGTACCCTCTGATTAGACTCAGCAGTGATACATCCGACATAACAGGTATAGCATCTTTAGTATTGTCTTATTACCTATTGATCTAATCACGGTTTCTGGCGGGTCAACGTTGAACTACAGAAATTACTCTCATAGTCCCTCACAGATACAGATGCAATCGGTCCCTATGTGCGGACGTCTTTGTTTAGTAAAAAGCAAATACTGTAATTTTGTTTCACCGATTTGAACGTCTTTCTGTCATCACCTTTCACCTTTATGCTTGTCATTGGCAGTATGCTCATCACGGGCGTACGACTTGTGTTTACTTTTCTTGATCATCAATATAAATCATACCTGAAGATAAACTACAATATCGGCACTCCGTATTTAAATCTATAGTAGCAATTTCAGAAAGTGGGTGAAAAAAGTCTTCCTTTATCACTTAACTCACGTGTACTCATTTAGAAGACCTAGTAGCTGGAGTTTATAGATCAGAAATAACTGGCCAAGTGAATAGACTTTTGTGATATTAGGTTTTTATGTCACGCCTTTATTTACATATTGCCTTAATATTTTTACGCTAAGAGGAATATTATTTGACTCCCAGCTGTATCTATTCACAGAGATGGTTCTATCTCAAGAGTGAAAGAATAAGCTTGTCTGGGGTGGTGTCATACTAACTCTAACGATCTGTAGTTACCGACTTAACTTTGTTTTCTATTTTGAAAGGTATATGTATATCTACCTTGATATCTAACATTCCTTGTAACTTAAAAATCAATCGTACAAACTTCCAAAAAAGCTTGTAGAAAGGGGAATCAAGGAATATGAAAATACATGCGGTGTACCATTTGGAAATTCTGAGAATTCGTTCATTTTAGTTTCTTGACCATCCTGTATTAACTATCCAAAAACTAGAAAGGTTAGTGGGTAGGAGCTGTATATGGGATCATAATGTTTTTTTTTTGACGAAAAGTTCAATACGCCAGCTGCAACAGTTGTGAAGATGCGAGTTGTCAAAGGTGAGTGGTATAGTATGCTATATCAAATTGCTTCGCTTGTAAGGGTCCAGAGAAATCTGAAACAAAATACAGGGCCTTTTATTTGAAGAAATGCACGTTTGGGTCACCACAGAGCAACAAATCATCGTATAGAGATATAAATTGTTTCCAGTAAACTCACCGTGTATTTCCACATAGTTCTGGCTACCAAACTCCAAAGTCAGTTCACCGAATGCTGAGGTCCATACTGTGACCAAAACGCTGCATACCCAGACCAAAATCGACAAGTCAAGTATCAACGGCGAGCCCCTCTCGAAGTTGATGAAGAGGGGTCCTTGAATTATTTTTGGATGGCGCAGTATCATCTGAAACCCTAGAAATGAAGGTTATATTGGTTGGC